GGCAAAAGGACAACAGGCGTTCTGTCCTTTATGTTCAGTCCGTTCATCAACGCCCTTAATGCAATTCCTAGTGCTTCATCATCTTTTCATGCATTCAGTTATAAATAACACCCAATCAGTTCCAGCTGCAACAGCACCCCTGGGACACCAACAGCATCCATAGATAATGATGCCCAAATGTCTTTGAACATACTCCAAATTTGCCCCAACGTGCCAGCAACTGGCGTGGGCCAGCGTTCAAACTGTGAAAGCCCGCCCCAGCGCAATCGGGCGCCACCCGCGCCTAGACCCCACAAAACTGGCGCCCACGCCCCGCCCCCCACCCACAGGCCAGCTCAAGTGGCGACGTCGCTGAGCCCCCGGCGCGCTGCAGCAGGCAGGACAGCCATCGCTGCGCACCCCGCCCACCATGTTCGTCGTCAAGCGCAACGGGCGCAAGCAGCCCGTCCAGTTCGACAAGATCACCGCGCGCATCCGGAGGCTGTCCTATGGCCTGCACCCGGAGCTGTGCGACCCGGTGGGTGGCGGGATCGGGAGTCGGCGGCCCGGCCGGCCACGCGCGGCACGGATTCGACTGCAGATGGTGGATGGGCCCCTTTTGGCGGGCGAACTGCGCTTGGCGCCAAATTCTCGCGGCATCCCCCCTGAGGGGTGCTCAACCCCTCGCCCCAAGTCTGCGCCCTGGGAAACCTGCAATGGCGGGATTGTCGGGCGACATCCAGATCAGGGCGTCGCCTGATGTGTAGAACCCCAGGGCTTCCCAGGAGATGGACCCCCGCGATTTCTTTCGATTCCCACCGCTGGTCATCGCCACCGTTCAGCCCGCCTCCAGATGGCTCCGTCGGCGCCCGACGCGCTCGGTGACCCCCGCACCGCGCTCCGGTGCGAGTCCCTGTGTTGAGAATTCCATCCGGGCGCGGATCCCCATTCCATGGCCTGTTCACGGAGTTGCGTCTCGATGGCCTCCAAACGCGTCCGGAGGCGCCGCGCGCCGTCGCGCATCTTGCCTACTCAACTTTACCAATCCTTCTTACTTTGCGGTCGTTCGGCCATCCACGCTCCGCGGCACACGAATGTCTCCAGGCGCGCCGAATTTCGCCCCCCTCTGACTTGCTGCCTTCTGCCTTCCTGCGCAGGTTCTGGTTGCCCAGAAGGTGACGGCGGGAGTGTACAAGGGCGTCACGACCACCGAGCTGGACGAGCTGGCCGCGCAGACTGCGGCCTCCCTCACTTCCACGCACCCCGACTATGCCATTGTGAGGGACCCCCCCGCCGCGCCTGACCTCCCATCGCGTCGGACCGTACCCGCTGCGCCGTGCCCGCAATGAATGGGCCGGCACGCCTGCCGAAAAATGCGTCGGGCGCGGAGTGATTGGCGATTGTGGTTGGTGCGGGTGTCGTTCGTGCTGTTGCCCAGAACGTGCGGGGACACTGCGAAGTGTTCAGACACGGAATGTGCGTGATGCTTTTGCTGTGGAGCAGATTGCGCAGAGCACGCAACCAAGTGTTGTGTCTTGGATTGTGCGTTGTGCTGAGCGTGCCCACTGGAAAGGTCCTCTTACTGGACTTGGCCAGGGGTGGGCATACCATGGGAACCTCCTTGGGAGTCCCAATGTGTTCACACTGAAAGGACAATTTGCACTGCGGCCCTTCATGAAATTGTGCTTGTGATTGCCCTGCAGCTTGCAGCGCGAATTGCGGTTTCCAACCTGCACAAGAATACAGAGAAGTCCTTCACTGCAACGTAAGCAGTGGCAACATGCCATCACCTGTCTCTTGCTGCTGGAGGCCAGGAGAAGTTCCTGTCAAGTTGCTTAACATATTTGAGCCATACCACACCTCGTCTGGGGCTGCCTTGACGTGCTCTTTCTGGGTGATGCAAGTCTTACGTGTCGATGGGTTGTTGCCTCTACAATTGGATCTGTCAGTTTTTTGCAATTTCTTTAGTCCTGTCCGCTGCTCGCTTTCGTTTCTGTGGAAATGAGATCTGCTGACTGGCGGTATGCGCACATCTGTGCAGAGTGAAGAAGATGTATGAGTATGTCAACCCTAAGACAGAAGAAAGGGCACCATTGATTGCTGAAGACGTATACCATATTGTCATGGAGGTGGGCCAGAGTTCATATTGAAACCTGTTGTGCAGTTCATTGTGCTTTGTTCTGAGACAATCTTTTGACAGGAGCTGCCTATTGCTGAGATGCCGGACCGCTTGGTTTACCAATGGTCCTTGTATCTACCATCTGACCCCAGAGTGTGTTTATTGCCTCTCGATTTTCTGTGGATGCTGCTTCATCCCTGCTGCTCCCAAATGGCTAACATGTTCCGCTCTCTGGTTCTCAGAATGCCCAGAAGCTTGAAAATGAAATTATTTACGACCGTGACTTCCACTACGACTACTTTGGGTTTAAGGTACTGCCTGTGATAACGTCTATTTGTCAACTGCCTAATGTCACCACTGACATCATATCATTCGTAAAGTCAAGGACAAAAGCAATTCCAGGCTCTGTTGGATTGGCCTTGGTTGCCTGAACATGATTGCCAGTTTCACTGAACACATTCGATGTTGGGTTCTACTGGGCAAGACTGTTTGTACTGTGAGTTGCAGTGCTTCATTGCATGTCAGCAGAGCTTCTGGGGAGCCTAAAACTGCTTATTCCCTCAGTGGGATTTCGGCTTCCTGTGTCTTTTTTGAAGATTGTGCAAGCCTCTTCTTCTGTCTCGAACAAAAATTGGAGATGAAATTATGTCATTGTCCTACAGTTGCAAATGCAATATTCTGCCATGCCTTGACAAATGCAATCGAATTGGTTTAGCAGAAGTTTTGTTCTGTCCACAGCTCTCCCCCCTTATCATATTCTGATACTTATATGAGCATTGAATGAAATCTTCCGCTGTTTAATGCTCATGGGTTCGCATGTCCTCGAAGCTTGTTGCATGACAATTTTTCTGTGCTGAGACAAGACCAAGCTTGTTCACAGTGTGAGTGTGCTGCTCTGTTCTGCATGCTTCCCTCTTGCACCACGCAGTTGCTTCCATTTTTCACGAAAAGAAAACGACACTCAAGAGTGTTCAGAAAGGAGTGCAGTCACTACACAACTTGGGCTCCCTTGCATTACAGCGGCTCTTTCACTGTGTCTATGCAGACTCTCGAACGCTCCTACCTGCTTCGGGTGAATGGGAAAGTCGTGGAGAGGCCCCAGCATATGCTCATGCGCGTGTCTGTGGGCATCCACAAGACCGACTTGGAGGCGGCCATACAAACCTACCACTTGCTGTCTGAGCGCTGGTTCACGCACGCCTCCCCCACCCTCTTCAATGCAGGCACGCCCCAGCCCCAGCTCAGCTCCTGCTTTCTGGTCAACATGAAGGATGACAGCATTGAGGGCATCTACGACACCCTCAAGGAGTGTGCCTGCATCTCCAAGCTTGCTGGTGGCATCGGCCTGAACATCCACTGCATCAGGTGACAGTCCATGGCAGTCATTGTCCATGCGCCCAGGAGGCGATGACAGGCACCAACACTATGTGCTTGACATTGTCCTGTATAGTGTAACCATCCACTGCATCAGGTGGACGATTGGCGTGACTGATGCACTGTTGGATCGATTCATCTTCAAATGCTGTGGTAGCGTGTGTCCTGCTTGAAGCAATCGAGCTTGTGCACAGTAAGCTGGTAATCGCAGTTTACAAATTGACTTGTTCTTTGTCGGTGGTCAACAATTGACTGCAGAGATATTCGATGTTAGTTGTGGTGGTGTCAGTGATTGACTGACATCGCTTCGCAGGCGACTGGTAGCTTCTGGTTTTGGCACAAAGGTAGTAAACTCGTCGGTTTGCAACTGAAATCAATTCATGGTGCCAATTGCATAAAAGAAAATCAAATTACACTTGTGGCGGAACAGGGCAACGGGGAGCTACATACGGGGCACAAATGGCACATCCAACGGCATCGTGCCCATGCTGAGGGTGTTCAACGACACGGCAAGATACGTCGACCAGGGCGGAGGCAAGAGGAAGGGCGCATTTGCCATCTACCTGGAGCCATGGCATGCAGACATTTTCGATTGGTTAGACTTGAGGAAAAATCATGGGAAGGAGGAGGCCCGGGCCAGGGATTTGTTTTATGGGCTGTGGGTGAACGACTTGTTCATGAAGCGGGTGGAAGCAGACGCAAAATGGAGTCTATTCTGTCCACATGAAGCCCCTGGCCTGGCAGATGTGTGGGGCGACGAATTCGAAGCACTCTATGAGAGGTAATGGCGATGTGCTTGGTTGTGCAGATCTTTTGCGCATCAGTGATGCAACTACAGCTGGAATATTGTTCGAAACAGCAACACAACACTGGATTGCCAATACATCGAAGTCAGGCATTCTTTGTATTTGAATGTCATAGTTGCTAATCTGGAGGTTTGTGGCTGGTGGACTGTGCCCCTTGGCTCGGAAGCACAGGCCTTTGTATGTGACATTCTCTGCCTTTTACCTCCTATCTGAGCTCCCCAACTTAGTGTGTGCAAATATGTCTTCACCTTTGGAGAGTTCTGGTTGCAATTAATTCAACAATCTTTCTTAAAGAACCATCATGCTTCGAAGTATGCCCTCCGACCGATTTCTGGGTGCAAGGACGCACTTTATCATGCCGTGCCACTTGCAGTCACAAGGACCAGCTTGCCAATGCTGCGCTCGATGCCCAGGTATGAGGATGAGGGACGCGCTGTGAAGGTAGTGAAGGCCCAACAGCTCTGGTTCGCCATCCTGGAGGCCCAGGTCGAGACGGGCAACCCCTACATGCTGTTCAAGGATACCTGCAACAGGAAGAGCAACCAGCAGAACCTGGGCACCATAAAGGGCTCAAACCTGTGCACAGAGATCATCGAATACGTGTCCTCGGAAGAGACGGCTGTCTGCAACCTGGCGTCGCTGGCGCTGCCAAGGTTCGTGCGGGAGAGGGACGCCACGGTGGGCGGCGAGGCCATGAGGCTTCTGGGGACCTTGAACGCAGACAACAGGTGCGGATGGACCACAGCAGCGATTTTGTGCTGCTCTGTGTTGCTGAAACCGTTGGCTCTTTGGTAATTAGTGTGGCCCATGTCTCAAACCAGAGCTGCAATACAGACTGCCATTTCAGCAGTGAGGATACAGCAGGTGCGATGTCGTTGGACGCCCATTTTGGAAATGTGGTGCGGTGCTTCATCAATCGAGGCAGTGGCCGATTTGTCCGTTAGTTGTTCATACCGCAGATTGTAGAGATAGGGGCCAGGTGAATGTACCCCATGGGTCACAGAATTATTAGAAAAAGAGAGATTGTCCTCCGCTTGTTGCCGCGACAGCACCAGTTCTCTCTGACATCGACTGCGGAGTGTCAGCCGAAATCCGTCATTGTGGTTGTCAGCGGTGGGAACGGCGTGTCCTGGCATCCAATTGTTCCCTCCGTGTTTTTGACAGCCGGTGCACCCTGAACTTCAAACCCACCTGCCAACAATGCGAAAAGAAGACAGATGTTTCGGCTCGAAGCACGGAATCGCCTTCGCGCGTTCCCTTACGTTCGCGTGGTGCTTCCCTGTTGGTTCCTTTTGCGACGGCCTGGCTTGGCCTCTGCGCTTTCCGCTCGCGCGGCGCGCTCGCGAACGCCCATAGATCGCACCAGCGCCCACCCCGCGAAGTGGATCGTCTCAGCGACCGCCCCTCATGCGCCCCTCCGCCCTCCACCAGGTACTTCGACTTCCAGAAGCTGCGCGATGTCACCCGCTCCGTCACTCGCAACCTCAACCGCATCATCGACGTCAACTACTACCCCGTGGAGACGGCGCGCCGCTCCAACATGCGCCACAGGCCCATCGGCATAGGCGTGCAGGGTCTGGCGGACGCCTTCCTGCTGCTGGGCCTGCCATTTGAGTCCCCCGAGGCGAAGCAGCTCAACAAGGAGATCTTCGAGACGATGTACTTCTCGGCGCTGGAGATGTCCTGCGAGCTGGCCAAGGCGGAGGGGGCGTACGAATCGTACGAGGGGTCTCCCGTGAGCCAGGGCGTGCTGCAGCACGACATGTGGGGCGTGTCGCCGCCCAGCGACCGGTGGGACTGGGCCAAGCTGAGGTCGGACATCGCCGCCCACGGAGTGCGCAACTCCCTGCTGCTGGCGCCCATGCCCACCGCCTCCACGTCGCAAATCCTAGGCAACAACGAGTGCTTCGAGCCGTACACGTCCAACATATACGTGCGCCGCGTGCTGAGCGGCGAGTTCACGGTGGTGAACCAGCACCTGCTGCACGACCTGGTGGCGCTGGGCGTGTGGAACAGCGACCTGAAGAACGAGCTGGTGGCCAGCAACGGCAGCGTGCAGCACCTGGCGGAGGTGCGCGAGGCTTGGTGCTGATACTGTGAAGCCTTTGCCTGAAGATGTGGGCTGATCGGAGCGGCGCAGTGGCTTGGATTCAGAATGCACAAATTGCCCATCGAACGGACTAGCACTGGCTTTTAAGCAGGGGGCCAGCAGCGATGTACGGATGGCAGCTCGTTGACCTTTGATTCCTTATGCAGAATAATGATGGTCTGCCCTCGCAGCTTGTGGGTGGTGACAGAAACAAATCAGGGCACAAAGTTCCCCCATGCCATCCCCTTGAACTTCATTATGTTCTGGATGAGCTACAGATGGAGACATGATCTCTGCCACCTTGCTTTTATGAAGTAAAGTTGCACCATGTCTTCACTGGTCGATACATTTCACAATGGCACACTGTACTGTACATCAACAATTGTGCCCATTGCCCATTTGCCGAGTTCGTTCCTGTGACAGAAGCCCCTGTGATAAGCAGATATCTTAATCTGTGTCCATCAGCAAGCCGCTCAGTTTCTTTTGTGTGGCAAAGGTGCCTGAAAAACTTAGGCCTCTGTACAAGACAGTGTGGGAGGTGAAGCAGCGGGCGCTGGTTGACATGGCAGCAGACCGAGGGGCATTCATCGACCAGAGCCAGAGCTTCAACGTGCATATGAGCGAGCCCAACTTCGGCAAGATTACGTCTATGCATTTCTATGCATGGAAACAGGGCCTGAAGACAGGGATGTACTATCTCAGGTGCGCGTCAAGCACTGCAAACAAGCAGTCTGGATTGGACCGATCGAATGCTTTCGCAAAGATCGGCTTTACGGAAATGTCTGACAAGTGCATCCCACAGTGAGAACAACTTTTGCAGCTCCCCCATGCTGTTGAACATGCTGAAAATGTCTGCTTTTGCAGCCAGATCCTCAGTAGCAGTACCAGTACTGAAGGGCATTTGTAGTACATACTTATCACTTGGTACTTGTTAGTTGGTACAGTGGCATATTCAACCCTTCCACATTCTGCAATTTCAGTGTTACGAATTTTTCTTTGCAGTGTTTCGATAGACTGTTATTTGGAGGGCTCTGCATCATGGTCAGAGCTGGAATGGTGACTTCACTCAGTCCACATGGCCTCATGCCAGTTTTCTGCCACAGCAACCCATGCTTCCAGGTTTGCCAGGCGCCACGAGCACTCCAGAGGCCCTTGCGTTGCAGCTGGGGCTGCTCCACAGCTTCTTGGCACCGTAACATTTTTAATGTTGCTCCTTATGAGAAGGCAAAACGTTACATTACTACGCAGAAGGGTATAATACAATTGGATTTTGATAATTTGTATTGGTGCTTGATGGCTCACACCCATACCTGGTGACCCAGTGGATGTCATGCGTTGTGGCTTGTGACCAGTGGGACCCAGGGGATGATCCCATCGTGGGCCCTGAGTCGATTGTCAGTGTGACTGCAGTGGTTTGCAGCCCACGTGATGCTACGACCTGGTTGGCGAGCGGTGATAGTTTGTCTCCACCTGCCTCCCTCCTGGCAGCAGTCACAACACGTAGGAAAGCTGTGACACATGTGCTGTGCAGAACAGCATAGACATTGTTGGTATTGCATCAAAAATTTCACAAGTATGTAAACGCCTGGTGTGATGCAGTAAAATTCTTCTTTTCATACCTTCTGGTGGGGAAGGGGCACTGACATTGAGAAAACATATTGAACTTCAAAGTTCCTGCGTGTTGAACAGGACAAAGGCTGCAGCAGACGCCATCAAGTTCACAGTTGACCAACAGGCCCTCAAGAAGAATCGTGCTGCCAATGGAGCCAAGGGCAAGTTGCAAGAAGCAGAGCCCAGGATGCCGCTGACTTGCTCGCTGGAAAACAAGGAGGGCTGCCTGTCATGTGGTGCATGAAAACCTCATCATCCCCTTGCTTCTTTTCTTCCAAACCATGCCTAGAGTATGCGCCTCATGTCCCCAGAACTGAGGGTCCACCCCAACTAGAGCTGGTAGCTTTGATTAGTGGCCAGTGTGTAGAGTTGTTTGGCAGATGATGGACTCCAGCTCAATAGAATGTCGGCATCTCTTCAGTTGGCAAAGATTTGGGGATGCTCGCAGCAAGAGAATTGACAGGGAGCTGAAAAAAGGGTGCAGGCACAAGAAAACCCACAGTGCTGCAATTAGGTAGGCTGCAGCCACGTTTCTCGTACAGGAAGTGTATTATTCACATTGACTTTATCTGCAGGAGATTGGGTGCGAAGTGCCTTGGAGCTCGTTGGAATGTGACACCAGACTCGCACAGTATAGAGTATACAGGACTTGTTTAATATACAAGAGCTTTGCTTGCCAAACTGCAGTTTGTATGTGTGCCACAATCGCTAACGTTGGCTGGGCAGACGTTAGGGATGGCCCATTTCGTCGCACTGGTGTTGGTCCCAGCTTTTCTATTGTGTCAATCTCACGTTAATACCCGGTCAACAATGTTCTGAAGTGGGTAGATGGGCGGCCTGTCCCTGGCCCCATCACAGATGGACTCACAGGTAGCTCCACCTGTGCGCTTGGGTCAGCAGAGCCCTGGCACCCTACTGTAGTATACCATATGCTTCCGCATTTTGAAATTTTAGCGTTGCAACTTTTGCTCCGCATTTTTCAACAGATCGTTATTTTGGGGGGCAATGGCGACATTGCCAAGTTCACATGGCCTCAAATGCTGGTTTTCCGCCGCAGCGACTCATGCATCCAGGACTGTTAGATGCCACGAGCACTCCATAGCCCCCTGCGTCGTGGTTGGGGCTGCTCCGCATTTTCTTGCCACCGTTACATTCTTAGTATCGCTCTGCATAAGAAGGTCAACGTTAGGCTGCAATGCAGAAGGGTACAATATAGTTGCAAATGAGTTGTTGCCCGTCGCAGCGTTTAATTCGCGCGAAATTGTTTTGCTGGACTGGCTTTTTGGCCTTTTGGAATCGAAGGATGTGGGTGGGCGGGGAGCAGGGGCAGCCTTTGTGCTGGATGCTCCACCTCTCACGTCCCTCCACTACACTGGACTTTAGGAAAATGCAACTGAAGTGCTGCAGAATTTGACACCTGAAGAACCATGCGCTGAGACTTTGCCTGAAAATGCACGAGCCTACTACGAAGAGAACCCATTCAAATGCCGGAAAGACGTCAAGACGCTGACAATACCGACAGAATGTTTGTCACTTGGCTCTGTATTAGGCCCCATCCAGTACTGCCGTGTGCCTTTGGTCTTGGCATCCTGTTGTTAAGGGACCGTTTTTTTCACTTGGCCCGCTTGGGCCATCTGACCCTCTGAGAAAAGACCACCTTCCGAATGCGATTCGACAATCCACACCAGATACCGGACCAGTTTTTTTTTCCCAATACAGTAGGGGTCCCTATAGGGCGGCCCCCGTGAAATGGCCAAAAAGGGGGTGCTAAAACAATTATTTGTTTAATCTATTCAATTGTAGTTATTCATAAAATACAACTCCCCATCACAAGAAGACGCAAAAGTAGACCCATTAGCTGGTTATGGCCTGTTGAGATGCCAAATTGACCCATCACAAGCGTGTACCATGTGCCATCGTGCCTAAGTAGTGGAACTCCGTGTTTAGGGCTGGCATTGATGTTACACGGTGCCTGTCACAACTCATCTCGTGGGCTTGCATATCCGTTCGCGGACGACCAGACGTGTACGTGTTGGCAGGACGCCCTTGCGCCCCAGTGCTTTGCTTTGTAAGCGGCGCATCACACAACGAACGTGCCCAGTCGCTCCCCACCGTGCGGTAGGTCGCCCGGAGCCAGGGACTCTCCTGTGTGTGAGTTGCATGGCCCAGAGTAGCAGGTGCAGCATGGGCGAGTGCCAAGGGTCAACAACGGCTGCGCGGCGTTTAACAGCTGGGCACAGAAGTCACAACAAAAGGCGGGATTGGGAGGCCAAACGTGGCCTCCCACTCTCGCCATTGCTGCCCCCCTTTGGCGCCGAATGGAGCCACCCGCGGGTGGTCTGATTGGCTGCCGCGAGTGCCATCAGTCGGCGCCCACGAGGGGCGAATGCCACGGTCAACAACGGCTGCGCTGCGTTTAACAACTGGGCACAGAAGTCACAACAAAAAGTGGGAATGGGAGGCCGAACGTGGCCTCCCACTCTCGCCATTGCTGCCCCTCGTTGGCGCCCAAAGGCGCCACCTGTGGGTGCACTGATTGGCACCCAGGAGTGCAAACAATCTGCCTTGACTGAGGCGCCAGGTACTGCCGGCTACCGTTCCTGAAAGGCAAGGGCGAGGCTCGCACAGAATACTCGTTGACGACATTGGCCTCTATCCGCCCTCGAGTCTGTGGCAATCTGCGCGTTGAAGAAATGGACGCAGCGGCACTGGGCACCCCTCCAAAAAACTCCACTCCGCCGGCCGCAAGGAGCCAAGGCGGGCAGTGCCCACTTCCCTGTGGATAGATGGAGATCCGCCGCAGAACGCACACCTCCACTGGCCTCCCGGGGAGGTCCTAGACCCGGGCCCCACGGGCCATCTGCTCGTCCGCGATGTTAAGTTCGCAGAAACGGTCGGCTATAGCATCCGTCCACCGGCCACCTCTCGAGTGTCCACAGTACTAGTTTGAGGTTTCACTGCACAGCGAAGCTGCATAGAGTACTACAAAAATGGTGACAAGCCAAGAAGGGGGCGCTATCCAGGAACGCTAATGAAGCACTATAAGAACCCCTCACAAATCAGTATTCACCTAGAAATCACATCCCATCCCTAACCTCAATTTTAGGGTTAGGTTTAGTTTCACGGCGAGTTTTAGGGTTAGGGTTAGGTTTAGGACAGGTTTAGGTTTAGGTTTTAGGGTTTAGGTTTTAGGTTAGTGCTCGGGGCATCGATCTTTACAGTTAGGTTAGTTTGGACGGAGTTGGACATGATGTGCACGTGACTTGGTGCAAGCAGTCACCGATTTGGTGCAGCCAGTAATTTTATGCCCCTACTGTACCGGATAGAGTTTCACCGCCACGGATGTGGGGACAGTTGACCAGCAAGCCAATAAAAAGGCGGAAGTACCCAGGGAATGGACATGCGCGGGTTCCTCAGGGTAACTGGTGTCTGCGTTGCCTGAGGGCGGCTGTGGGCGGAGCGGTATGGCGGACTGCGGCAGCGACGACGAATGGTCTGAGGCAAGCGGCTCAGACTGGGGCCCTCAGGTGAGGTCAGAGCCGCTCCGCGGCCAGTCAGTGGCTTTTGATTGCGTCCGCAGCCTGGCGCTTCGCATGCGCCCGCTTTTCTGTTGCAGCCTTCAACCACCGACGAGAGCACGTCGTGTTGCGTCTGTGGCATTGCACCGTCATGTTGATCCACGCTGGACATGATGATCATGTCCTTGTGCACGGCCGCCCTCGCACCTTGGCGCGAAACGTGGCGGCGCTGGCATCGACACCTTTTGCGCGTCACGGCCCAGAGGACACCCGTTGGCAGCCGTATTGCGCTGTTGCGCTCACGTTTGCTGTGCCGCTTGCCAGAAATGGCAATGTCCGGTTGACTTGGAGTGCCAATGTCGATTTGTGTTGTGTGGACCAGTGGCTGTTGGGATTCGTCAAAAAGGCGCGCCATACCAGCTTGCTGCGCCATCGCTTCCCCTGCAAGGTTGGCGGACGACCGGTAAGGCAGGGCGCCCTGCTCTGAGAAAGCTCTCTGCAAGAAAAATTGACAGCCAATGCTGTCGCTGCCATACACGCATACATTGAATGCCCAAAACCCACATCTGAAATCAGGTGGTAAGAGAACGACAAATTGTCAGGTTGGGACAAGCCATGGCAAGGCGCCGTTTCTGAAACAGACAGAAACATACACAACTAGGCAACTCATTGTATTGGCCATCAAAATGTCAAGGAGCCTTTCATTTCGCCCCCTGCCCATGTTTTGCAGCAGTCAGCACCCTAGCCATTTTCTTGCAGTCTAAATTTCTTGCACTTGGACCAATGCAACAGTTCAAACTGCGCAAGCCTACCTTAGAACCAACATGGCGCCGCGCTTTGCAATTGAACATCATGTTCCACACAGCAGTGGGATCCTGCTGCAGGTTAACATTCACTTTGGTAGTGCAAGACAGTATTTTGTGCATGTGGACAATGTGTTTTGCCACATTCCACTGGGGGCACTTTCTGGCACTGTGGACAGCACCTGACATCGCCGGACAGGTGCAAGGGCACTGCTTTGTTGTGTCTGGCAATTGCAGCAACCAAGATTTGCCATACATTATCCTTCACATCCGCCCAGACTCCTGCACATAATTTATTAATTTGGACAGAAGCAATAACATGATAATATGTTGATGCTGTGTTCCACCATCTTTTCAGTCTGTTTTGGGTTTGGGGTGTACAAACTAACAAGGACGCTGCGATATCACCAAAACTGAAATAACACAACGTTAACTGGATGCTGCACAATGCATGCACACCATGGTGCAGCAGCCTGTTGGCAGCTGCCAGGTGCATGAGTTGGAAAACAAAGGGTGACGGGAGGTTGTGCCATTGGCTCAGGCATGGCTACACCCTCTTGACCTACCACAGGAGCAGCAAATCCGATGCGAAGCAAGTGGCCGCTGGCTGGAATTCCTACTGCAGATCTATTCTCCTGTTGATGGCATTGATGCAGCGTTTCATAGGATGATATATGTGTTCATCTCCCCCAAGGTCAGTTCAGGACAATGTTCCTCTGAATGGGTCCATCCAAAGCTGGGGAAAGCACAGATGAATTTCAGCACCTTAGACCACTGCTCAGAATATGACTG